ATACAGAGGAATTTAAAGAAATAACATATGAGCAAGAGCCTATGGTGATGAAGGAAGAAGTTCAAGCTGCTTTGAAGGAAATAGCAAAACATAAAGCCCCAGGAATAGATGGTTTAAGGAATTGATATATTAGGCATTGGCAAAATGAGTTGGTTTGTATCAGACATTTGGAATCAGATGATCATATGATTTACTATGCCAGGCATGAAAAGGCAGAAAAAATGTGGTTAAATTAAAAAAAGTCATTTCTACATCCATCCTGAAATACAATGTGATGAGCAACAGTATAATATCCGTAGGCACCCAAGGAAGTCCAGGAAATACTACGATCATTCAAATATATGCACCAACATCTATGGCAAAAGAGGAAGAAATGGAAGATTTCTACCAACTTTTGGAGAAAGAAATTGAAAAACATTCAATCAAGATACATTGATAATATAGGGCGACTGAAATGCAAAAATTGGGAACAGGGAAGAAGGATCAGTAGTTGGAAAACACAGACTCGGTGAGAGGGTATAACAGCATTTAGAGCTCTTGTACATAGGGTCGCTATGAGTAGCAAGTGACTTGATGGCACATAACAACAACAACAACAACAATAATAATGATGTCATTGATGCTAATTCTGTTTAGATCACAGCTTGCTGTCATGATGGGAATTTTTATCCTACAGCATCAATAGGATGGATGCTAAGGGTCACATGCTAATGCTTTCAAGGCCAAAATCTAAGTGTGCTTTTTCTACAAAGTGAATCTGTACAATTAGTAATATATTTCCCATGTCTTCTAGGTGAAGGTGCTTTAGTGAACACAGCTTGGAAATTCTGTAACTAGGAACCACAATTGTTTCCAACCTAAAACTTTACTTCTTGGGCCATATAAGACAACTTATAGAATGAGTGGCTAGCAATTAAAGGGACTTTTCTTTCTGTAGTTGTCCCATGTAGACATAGGCCACATGGACTCATTAAAGAAAGGGCCAGTTAGTAGACAAATCCACTGAAAGTACCCAACCCAACTTTGTTTGGGTGCAGATGATAGACCTGTTAGGTTCATTTCTATGCTGGCATTTAGTAGAGTTCAGTGTGTACTTGCTGGTTTATTGGTGGCAAAAGTTGTGTTCCATTATCGTACTGCACAACGGTAGTAGTTACAGCCCAAAAGACTGACTGACATAGCACGTGGTATGTATGTGTTTGTTCAGACTTTACTTCAATGAGTTGAGTTATCATCCAGTATTATTAGCCTATAGGCCACTAGTGACAAAACAAGAGAAGCTCAAAGGGATTCAGCCTAATGAGTCACAAAGTGGCCAATGATCTCAGGGTTTATGACTGCTAGTGGACTGGATATAGTACTGGAAGGAGATTGAGTTAGTTCTGCCCAGTAAGAATTACTGCCCAGCTTTCTGGAGTGTTATTGGACCGAGTTGTCCTCTCAGGGCCCTGTCTGGCATCAGCTCCTCCAAGGAACTTCTCTGCCAGTGTGACCGAGGTTGGCGGCTCTGTTGTAAGCCTATTACAACCACACAGGTCACTGGAATTCCGAGGATAGGAGAGAGATGCAAAGGGGTCTATCTCAGAAGAGCATGGTCTGCAACAGAAAGGATCTGCTGGACATTGAGAAGTCTCAGTAATAAAGAGACATGAAAGAGAAAAGGAAGCCAGGAGATTAGATGCTGAACTAGGCCCTGAGTTCAGAACAGGGTGTGGAGATAATGAAGGGTATGAATCCAAAAGGGGTATGAGGAAGTTCTCAAGGTCCTTGAGCTTCAAACCTGCCAGTTTTCTTGATTATAAAGCAGAAATGTTCCATTTCTCTTTTGCCCAGAGCCTTAGAATGGGCCAGCTTGTATTCCTCAACCCAGTGGGCCTCCCTTGCTCTCTGCCGCATAGCACATGAAGCAGAGTTGAACAGTTCACCTGTGTATAGAACCCGGGAGCCTCAGTCTTCGCACTGAGGGTGTTCTGCCTTAGCCCTGCAGAAGGTCAATCCTTAGACATACGACAGGGAAGAAAAAGCTGGTTGACTCCTTGCATATAAGTTGTGTATGTTAAGTAGGGAAAGGAACATGATTCAGAACATGATTATGTTCTAGGTCTGCCTCAATGAGGATTAAAAGCCCAACCATGCAAAAATAAAAAAGGACAAAATCTCATTCCCCAGAACTCACTCATCCCTGATCCTGCCCTGGGTTTTCAGAGGGTATAAATTTCACTGTAGGTGATTGTTCATCTTTCTTCTTTGGGGCATTTGGTGGATTCTAAATTCCTACATTTGGTTTGGCAGTGCAACTCCTGTCACACTGGGTCTCCAGAGCTCCCCCAGCTAGAATTGTTGTCTGCTAAAAATAGGTAAGTTAATAATGAAGACACAACTATTTCCTTGCAGTTAAGACTCATTTATTAAGATTCTTGCCTTTAAGATGATCAAGCAAAGAGGGACTCAAGGTGATTCTTCCAGTTGGAGATGTTTTATTGTTTTCTTTATCCAGGGTAAGAAACTGGAGATTTTGGTGAAGACACGTGGGGGAATTCCTTCTTCCTTTCCATAGGAGGCAATACCCTGAGCCACATTTCCACATACCAAGGGGCCTCCAGAGTCTCCCTGGGAACACAGAGAGGAAAGGCTGAGTTAATTGTTCTGCTGGTCCTGCCTCCTTCTACATTCTGGGAGAAAACTGCCCCGATGAAATAAAAAGGGGTGGGGTCAGAGGCCTTTCTGGGGACCCCCAGGATGCCAAAATTGGGTGCTTGACATTATTGATGTTTTATGCCTAGGTTGTGATCTATCTTCTTCCCTAACTTTAGGACTCTTGCCTTCTAAGGAGATGTGGAATTTTGCTTCTAGGCTACTGTTTAAGGAAAGGCAGTTGGTTGATGAAAGAGAGTACATTGAGCAGGGTAATGACAGCTCTTCAGTATTTACATGGTTTTGATTGTTCAACGTGGAGGGAGAGCTTTTCCTTGTATGTGTGCTCTAGGTGGGCAGGGCAATCCTCTCTACATCCTCTACATTAAATAAATTTAAAAAAATTCAAACCAGATCTGAACATGTCAGTTCATAGTAATCGTAAATGTTAGAGAATTGAAGTGCTCATTGGATTTTGTTCCCTATAAAGTTTATGGAACACCTTTGAGAAGGTTCAAACCACACATCTCTAAGGTAGAATCTGAATGGAAGCTTTTTGTGCCTTAGAGATGTTTGAGGTGACATGTTATTGTTGTTGTTTTGCTGTCAAATGTGAACTGACCCATAACTGATCCTCCAGCGAGATTTTAGAGATGATGAATTGCACAGGAGGACATTGCCCGGCTTTCCCCTGAGGAGCTCCTTTCAGAGTAGAGTGATGTTTCTTACCACTCAGCTACGTATCCCTCTGTGATAGAATAAGGTGTGACAAAATCACCTTTTGGAGGAAGACATATCTGGCTTACCCCTGGGAAGCTCAAAGAGGCCTGAGTGACTGGGTAGTTTGGTACTCTTGCTATCTCAGAAAAGTGGGTGAAGGCATTCCCGCTATTGCTAGTTAGGACCATTCTATCCCAGCTCTTCCTGAAACACCCTGCTCTCCAGAGCAAGGCCAGGCTAATGCTAAATCTTACCTTAAAGGAACACCTCTGTTTCTGAGGGTCTCCTACACACAACTGAGATGTTCTGTCATAATTCAGGAAGCGGTGTTCACACTGGAAGGGCTCTTGAATGATAAGATCCACTTCATGAAGCTTGCTTGTTGTTTCATTCTGAGTGATCCGTCCCCAGCCAGCCACACTGCACACCTGACCAGGCCTCACCTGGTCACTATCACCAGGCAGGGGGAGCAGGCCCACAGCTGGAGTCAGTTGGGCCTTTGTCTTCAGCTGATGAAGAAAACAACAAAGTTTTGGTCACTCAGAGCCTACTGCCCACCAGACCTAGATGGGCTGCACTTTATCCCTTCTTCCTCCAGGGCCTGGAATTAGTGATTCAGCCAGGATGAGAAAGGCAGGGGTCATGGTGGGAGAAGAAAGTTCTTGAATCCAACGGAGCAGGGATAGCAGGGTGTGTGACTACCTGTAGTATCATGATGTCATTTCCACTGGTCGCATCGATAAAATTAGGGTGCGGGATTGCTTTTTTCACAGGAATTTTCTGCTGTGTCTCTTCTTGCAACAGAAAGTCATGAGCCCCCAAGATGACAGTCATGGGGCTGTGCAGAGAGAAAAGAGGAGGTTCTCACAACTGGAGCCCTAAAGCAGGTGACAGATGGGGAGGGGTGGGAGCTGCTAAGGGAAATTCTGGAGGGAGGGGCCTTTCATTCTGAACTTGCTGAACTTTTGGTTTCTTGGCAGCATTGCAGCTGGTTGTGGAATTCTCTTTTGCCCTCCGGTCATATGAAATGGTTTGAAAATACCTGCTCTCAACCTCCACTGTCTGCCTGAAATAGCCAGCAGGGTCCTTCCTTAAGCTCTTCTACTTGCCCCATCCTCTCACCTCATGGGTTACCTGTTGACTCAGTTTTCACCACCTCATCCCACTCTCAAATGGTTCTGTGGATGAAAACTTATGGGCAAGGGTTCCACTCAGATGAAGTCGAGCCCCCGTGGGGCAGGAATGTGAAGAGTCCTTAGAGGTTTCACCCCTCACCTTCTTGGAATGTGAGCTGCTGTCAGGACAATATCTTCTTCCACAAGGAAACCACCACACGTTTGCCATTTGCCATCATCACGAAGTAATGCCACAAGCGCCATGTATGGACGTGAATGAGGTTGTGCTTCATGACCTCCAATGATCTCCTCTGGGGGGAAAAAAAAAGGAAGATGGGAGGAGCAGGCATTCTACCTGATGATTAAAGATAGGATCTGCTTTGCCTTGTAGTTGTTGGGACAAGTTGTCCTGGACTCTCCCAAAGCAATCCTTATTGGCTTGATAACATGCCCTTCTCTTCAAGTCTCAGTTGGCCCTCCTAAAAGATGATAGTGCTAGTTCTGGATATCTCATGTTAGACATAAGGATGTTGGGGACACAGCTTGTCTTCAAATTGGCAAACTCCTAAAGAATCATGGAGAAGAATCCCTGCTTTTCAGATTCACCCCAGGTCAGCTCCTACAGGTCTGAGTGACTCCCCAGCTTGGCTATTCCAGTCCTGTTATTTCAACAAAGCAAATGAAGGCATCCCCCTATTGCTAGCAAGAGTCTTCAGATCCTAGATATTCCTGAAACATCCTTGTCCCCTGAGCCAGGACAGGCTAGTGTTAAATCTCACCGTGAAGGCAGCCAACCATCTGTTTCTTCAGGTTCACCATGCACAACTGAAAGGCATTGTTATAATTCTTGAGTCAGGGTGGGGCTGGTGCTGAGAGGAAATGCTGGAAGGAGGGGCCCTTGAGCTTGAGCCTTTGACTTCTCAAGAAGAGCATTTAAGGTAAGCAGTTGTGGGATTCTCTTTAGCCTTCAGTTCATATGAATTGAATTGATACATACCTGCTGTCAACATCCACTATCTGCCTAAAACCTCCAGTGAGGTACCTCTCTGATCTTTCCCACTTGCTCCAACCTCTGCCTTCATAAGCTACATGTTGACCTTCTTTTCACCACCTCATCCTGCTCACTAATGGTTCCTCTGATGAGACCCCTGGCGCCTGTGTTGTAGACAGCTGCAGGAGCTCCCCTGAGGAGCAAATATGGGAAGTAGAAGTCCTTGTCACATCTACCCCTCATCTTCCCCTGCAGTGAACTGCTGTCAGGAAAGTCTTGTTACACAAATGTTTCGCCACAACCCTTCTTGACTTCCCAGTGAAACAAAAAAAATGTCATGTATTGATGTGAATGAGGCATTTCTACATGACCTCCAATGATCTCCTCTTAAGAAAAAACATGGATGATAAGTTGACTGTGGCATCCTACTTGGTGACTGATGAACACGTCATAATTGCCCTGAAGATGATGGGACAGATAAGTCATGGTTCTCCCGAAATATGAGTTTCTGGCACAGTGACATATTCCAACAGAAACATTCCCTCTTAAAAGTTGACAGTGCTTGTTCCAGACAGCACACATTAGGCACATGGATAGAGGGTTGCATATGCTATCTTTAAGATGGCAGAGTCATTTTAGAGTATCCTGAATAAGAATCTGTGGATTATTCTGCGTTTGTTTCCTGACCTGTCTGAGCGTCTACTAAGTTTCTGGCATTTTCTAATAATATACCCTTATGTTTATGGAGTTAGAATTTTAGAAAAGTTTTAGGCTTTTCAGAGCCTATTTATTACATCTTGGAACTTAATGAAATCTTTTTATGATTGAATCATCGAACCGGTCCCAATAAGCCTTTGGATGAGACTTGGTATGGATTATACTGGTGGGAGTCAAAAGCAAAGGACTGTCAAGAATGTTGAATACAAAGACAGCGGAGTAACCAAAGCCTGGGGAGGCAGAGGAGGTAAAGTCACTAACTAGAAGTAGACTGTAAAGGAGATTGTTGTTGTTGTTGTTATGTGCCATTGAGTCGCTTGCGACTCATAGCGACCCTATGTACAACAGCCCTAAACTCTGCTCTGTACTGTGCTAATCGCACTGTCTCTGACACTCCCATCCCAATTATCCCAGTCACTGAATCAATCCACCTCATGGAGGGCCTTCCCCTCCTGCGCTGTCCCTCCATCCTCCCAAGCATGATGTCCTTCTCCAAGGACTGGTCTCTCCTCACAACATGTCCAAAGTATGTTAGACGGAGCCTCAGAATCCTTGCCTCCAAGGAGCCACCCAGTTTAACCCTTTCCAGGACAAATCTGTTTGTTTTCCTAGCAGTCCATGGCATTTTCTTCATACTCTTCTCCAGCACCACAGCTCAAAGGCATCAATTCTCCTTCTATCCTCCTTGTGCAACTCTCTGATGCATAACAAGTGATTGCGAAGACCATGGCCTGTATCAAATGCACCTTAGTCTCCACAGAGACACCATTGCTCTTCAGTACTTTGGAGAGGTCCCTAACAGCAGACGTTCCCATGGCAATGCGCCTTTTAATTTCCTGGCTGCTGGTGCCAAGACTGTTGACTGTGGAGCCAAGCAAACTAAAGCTGTGTACGATCTCAATCTCTTCACCATCCATCCTGATGCTGCCAATTGGTCCAGTGGTGAGAATCTTTGTCTTCTTGACATTGAGCCTCAATCCATATTGTAGGCTGCAGTCCTTGACCCTCTGCAGCAGGTGCTTCAGGTCCTCTTCAGTTTCAGCAAGCAGGGTTGTGTCATCTGCATAACACAGACTGTTGATAAATCGTCCACCAAACTTTACCCCACATTTCTCCTCATAGAGCCCAGCCTCCCGGATAATCTGTTCTGCATATAGGTTGAAAAGGTATGAAGATAGGATGTATCCCTTGCGTACACCCTTAAATTCTTTGAGATAAATTGCAACTTGAATTTCTCTCCTGGCCAGGTGAGCACTGAACCTGGAGATGTACGTAAAAGACAATGAAATGATTTTGACATCATTACTCTAATAGCACAAATGTTGTTGATTATTAACTTTGAGTCAAGCATGTCTCATTGCGACCTCATGAACAAAATGCCTGAAGTCCTTCTACAACTATTGACATTTTTCAAAGTTCATAGAGTTTCCAGAGGATGTTATTTAGGAAGTGGATGGGATTCTTGCTTCCAAACCAGTTATAGTAAGTTATTGTTGTTATGTGCCATTGAGTCATTTGTGATGTATAGCCACCCTATGTACGGCAGCTCTGAATGTTTCCCTGTCCTGACCCATTTTCACTAACTATGACACACTAATCCCCATTGTCCAAGTTACTGTATCAATCCTTCTTATCCGGGGGAATCTCCCACACCAGTGCTGTCCATCCACCCTTCTGAGCATGATGTCCTTGTTTCAGGACCCATGTCTCCCGGCCACTTGCCCAAAGTAAGTGAGACAGAGCTTCTACATCCTAGTCTCCAAGGAGATACTTGGTTTCACCCTCTTCAAGATAGACGTACTTGCTTTCTTGGCAGTCTGTGGGACATAAAAGATTTATCTCTAGTATGACTACTCAAAGGCGTCTATTCTTCTGTCATCCTGAGTCATTGTACAGCTCTCAGAAGAATAACAAGTAAATGAGAAGACCATGGCCTGGACTAGGTGCATCTTTTTATCCAGACTGACATCACTGCCCTCCAGCATTCTTGAGAGGTCCATGACAGCTGATTTCCCAATGTAATTTGTCCTTTTCTTTTCTTTTCTTTTCTTTTTTCTTTTCTTTTTTCTTTTCCCTTTCCTTTCCTTTTCTTTTCTTTTCTTTTCTTTTCTTTTCTATTATTTTCTGACTGGTACAGGAGGAGATGGCCCCTCCTTCTCCGGCAGAGCTTCTGCTTGATTAGAACCACATATCTCTGGGATTGCAGTGCAGCTTCTTGCCACTAGGCCACCAGAGCTCCCCATAATTTGTCTTTTGATCTCCTGACTTGGTGTGAAGAGTTTTGATTGTGGATATAAGCAAGCTGTAATTGATAACAACCATCTTGTCCATCTAATGATACTGCCAATTGACCTAGTGGTGAGAATCTTTGTCTTCTTGATGTTGAGCTTCAAACCACATTGAAGACTACAATCCTTGACCTTTTGCAGCAAGTGCTTTAGGTCTTCTTCAGTTTCAGCAGGCATGATTGTGTCATCTGCATATTGTAGGTTGTCAATGAGTCTTCCTTCAATCTTGATGCCACACTCCTCCTCATAAAATGCTATTTGTGTTTTATGGAACATACAAAAGCATTTGACTGTGTGGTCTAAATAATTAGGACTAATATCAGAGAATGAGAATTACAGAACACTTATAATTTTGCTCCTATGAAACCTATACGTAGACCAAGAAACTGTTGTTCAAATGGAGCAAGGAAACACTGAATGGTTTAGATAAGAAAGGTGTGTGTCAGGATTGTATCCTTTCTTCATATCTATTCAATATGTATGCTGAACAAATCATTCCAAAAGCTGGACTCTATGAAGAATAAAGGGGGATCAGAATTGGAGGAAGATTCATCAACAACCTCTGTTATGTAGATACACAACCTTGCTTGCAAAAAAGGGGAACCTGAACTACTTGATGCAGAAGATCGAAGACTACAGCCTTAGATATGGATTGTATTTCATCATCATAAGACAAAATTCCTAACCACCACACCAATAATCAACGTTGATGGATGGAGAAAAATTGAAGTTTTCCATTAATTCATCTTACTTGGATCACAATGATTCGTACCAGAAATAAGGAGACCAGAAGACATATTACATTAGACAAGCTGGCTATCAGATATTCTTTAAATTACTAAGGAGCAATGATGTCAGTTTGAAGAATAAGATGGGTCTGATTCAAGCCATGGTCTTTTCATTCACTTGCTATGCATCTGAAAACTGGACAATATATGAGGATGACAGAAGAACAATTTAAACCTTTGAGCTGTGATGTTGGAGAAGAGTATTGAACTTTGAACTGCCAAAATATTGAACAGATATGTCTTGGATAAAGTGTGAATATAGTGAACATTGGAAGCAAGGGAATAAAGCTTCATCTCACATACTTTAGGCATGTTGCTAGGAAAGGCTATTTGAAGGAGACGGACATCATACTTAGAAAGGTAGAGGGTCAGAAAAGGAGAGAAAGTCTCTCACTGAGGTGGATTTGTGTGACTGTGGCAATGGGCCCAACTGTATCACAGATTATGTTGATGGTACAGGATAGACAAGGGATCAGAACTATTATTTGTAGGGTTGCTATGAATGACATTGAACTTGGAGGCACCTAACAACAGCACTGTAATAAGATCAACAGCCTAACTGCACATCTCTGGATCCACAGAGTGGAAGTGGTTGTGCTGCTAACCCTGAAGCTCCACATCGCTGGCCTTTCAAATACATCTGAGTCCCTTTGGTAGAAAGATGGGGTGATCTCTTCCCATGAAATTTACTGCATTAAAAACTCCCTGGAGGATCAGGTAGGAGATGGTTTCAACTCCACAACGAACACAATGGTTTTGACTCTAATAATAAGATTAAGCATGACAGCATTTGTAGTAAGGATAGCATAGGACCTGGAGGTGTTTCCCTTTATTGTGTATTGTACAACAAACTCAACTATACCAAAAACAACTGCAATACACTAATTCTTTGTGTTTTAGCTTCATTTTCGTGGGATAGGGATGTGGGTAAGCAGCTGGCCTCTCAACACAGATACCCTCAGTTTGAAGCCACCAGTTGCTCCAAAGGAGAAAAATGGGAAACTCCTCCTGTGTAATTTAGAGCCTCTGAAAACATGGTGGAGAGTAAATTATGAACTGCTTCTGATTTATTAGCTATGAATTGCTGTTGTTTAACTTCTTGGCATGCAAAAAGGGATTCTAGTTACTTACCTTTATATCTTCTGCCAAATGATTTTGTAAGAATAATCTGTTTCTCAGGGAATCAGGAGAAGCTAGCAGAGGCTACTACTTAGTAAGCCTTTAAGTGGAGTCAGTATTGTGGTGATTTCACCTATACTGGGGAAATTTGACAAAAGTCCAGGAAAGGTTAACACCTAAGACAGTGTACAGGGTGTCAAGTCATCCTTCTGGAACATCTATCCAATATGAAACTTCTTAGTCTGGGTTTGATATGAAAGCTGGTATCTATAAAGTTTCTGGATTACATGGAAGGAATTCCTTCCTAGCACTGGGCAGAAGGGCCAGGAGTACAAGTAATTCAGGGAAAAAGGCTCAGGTTCCTAGGATGCAGAGGGTCACTCACCTGCTATAGATCCAGGAAGCAGGTGAAAGGCCAACAGGAGCAGGAGTGGCAGCATCATCTGAGGAAGGCTACCCAGGCTAAAGCTGATGGTGTCTAGACCAAAATAACCACAATGCAATGGAGGGGACGAGACACAGTGACTTTATATCACACACATACGTCTGTGATAGGCTCGTTTGTTCTGGTGTCATCACGCAAGTGAGTCTGCAGAATTTTTCTGGTTAAGTTAGATGAGAACAACACTGTCGCCACATTTTTATTCATAGCTGCTGAGTCCCAAGCTGAAAACACAAATAAAGAACAAGAAGAAAAAGGTTGTTGAGACTGTGCCCAACATCCAGTAGAGTTGCTACAATAGGATCCTGGATCCTTTAGTGACCGAACTAAGACTTTACTCTTCCTGTGACTTTTCTTTTCTTTTTTTTAACAGAAATTTTTATTTTATATTGGTTTACTTGCAAAGTTTGTATACATTACTTTTGACACTGGATCTTTCCCATATCCTTACCCACCCCACCTTCTACTCATCAAATTTTGTGACCCTATGAGCTGATAATGGAATATTCCAATGTTTGCTAGGAGAAGAAACAGGTTCGTCCTAGAGAAGGTGCGAGAAGGCTGCTACTTGGAGGCAAGGATTCTGAAGCTTTCTCTGACATATTTTGGACATATTGCATGGAGGGACCAGTCCTTGGAGAGGGATGTCATGCCTGCGATGGTGGAGGGACAGCTCAACAGAGGAAGACCCTCGATGAGATGGATTGATTCAGTGACTGTTGTAATGGACGTGGGTGTGTCAGTGACAATAAGTTTGGCACAGGATAAAGCAGGGTTTAGGGCTGTTTTACTTAAGGTAGCTATGAGTTGCAGGAGACTTGAAAGCACAAAACAACAACTACAACATCAGCAACATAATTATTCTCTCCCTCCCTTGGATCCTCATACACATTTTACTAGTTATATTTCTATTACTACAATAATGGTATTATGCATTATCTATGTTTATGGGACTGATTTCACATAGCATAATACTGTCCAGTTCTTCCCAACTTAGGTAGTGATTTTTAAAATCATGGCTCCTGAGTGGTGCATAGTATTTCATCATGTAAATCTACCATAATTTCTCACCCCACTCCATTGTGGTTGGACATTTGACTGTTTCCATGATCTTTCATAGTGAATAACGTTGTTATGAACATTGGTGTACAAGTCTCTGTGTCTCAGTTTTTATTTTCTCAGGGTATTATCCAAGCCGTGAAATACCTGAGTCATATGGAATTTCTCCCCCCGCCAAGGGTTTATTTACAAAACTCGAATACAAATTCAATAAATTTTCCACTTTCCATCACCCCTCCCCATTAAATTTTACCACCCAATGATTAATTCCCCCACCCCTCACCCTCTGGACATCTACATCCGCCTGCTTCTAGTCCCTCCCACCCCTCCTGGATACTTACACTCATTTTACATTAATAGATGTACACAATATTGATCCTGTGAGACTGAATTAGTTCACTCAGCATGTTCTTCAGTCCCTCTCAAGTTGGGTAATTATTTACAAAGTTATTGTGCCTGCATGCTGCATAGTATTCTATTGTGTGAATATACCACAATTTCTTAATCCACTCTTTGTAGTTGGACATTTGGGCTGTTTCCATGTTCCTGCTATGTTGAATAATGGTGGGATGAACATTGGTTTACAAATCTCAGATTGTGCCCCAGTTCTCATATTGTCAGGATATGTTCCAAGTAGTGGATAGCTGTGTCACATGGAATTTCTATGTTCAGCTTTTTGAGGAAGCGACAAACTCTTTCAAAATGGTTACCCGATTTTACAATCTCACCAACAATGTATAAGAGTTCTTTTCTAGCCACAACCTCTCCAACATCTATTACTTGCTTCCCTGTTATAATTTGCCACTCTTACTGAAGTGAGATGGTATCTCAGTGTGGTTTTGACATGTATCTCTCTTATTGCCTGTGATTTGGAACATTTCTTCATGTGTCTGCTTGCCATTCGAATATCTTCCTCTGGGAAAAGTCTTTCCATGTCTATTGCCCATTTTGTAATTGGGGTATCAGTCTTTTCCTTGTGGAGGCCCAGGAGCATTTTGTAATCTTTTGTTACAAGACTCTTGTGTTAGATGGTATTACCAAATGTTTTTCCCAGTCTGTAGGTTTTCTTTCCACCCTGTTAGAAAAAGTATTTAATGTACATTGAGATTTAATCTTTAGAAGGTCTCATGAATCATTTTTATCCTCTTTAGATTATGCATTTTCCTCTACATTATTTATTGTTTGCTGTACCACTAAGTTTGGCCATTTCTACTGCAGTGAGATGTTCTCTCACTGTGGTTTTGATTTGCATCTCTCTTATTGCCAATGACTTTGAGCATTTCTTCATGTATCTGTTGGCCACCTGAATATCTTCCTCTGTGAAAATTCTTTCCATGTCTTTTGCCCATTTTGTAATTGTGTTATCATATTTTTTCTTGTGGAGCCTCTGCATAATTCTGTAAACTTTTGATATGAGACTCTAGTCTAAATGGTATAGTCAAATGTTTTGATTACCCCCCCCCCCAAATCTGTAGGTTTTCTATATAGTCTGTTGAAAAAAAAGTTTTTATGTGCACAGGGATTTAATCTTTAGAAGGTCCTATTCATCCATTTTATCCTCTCCAGATTATGTATTTCTGCCTGTATCTGGCAGTCTCTTCATACCATAGACTTGGCCTTCTAAACTTTATCCTAGTTTGTCTCTGATGATCTTTATGGTTTTGGGCTTTACTCCCAGGTCTCTGATCCACCTTGAGTTGATTTTTATGTGTAATGTGAGTTGTAGATCCTGTTTCAGCTTTCTGCAGATAGTCATCCAGTTTTGACAGAGCCATTTCTTGAAGAGGTTTTCATTTCCCCATTTGTTATGTTTTATTTCATTGTTGAGTATCAGTTGACCATAGATAGATGGGTCCATTTCTGAGTTCTCCATTTTGTTTCATTGTTCTATGTGCCTCTCATCGTACCAGTATCACACTGTCATTGTACCATTACTACACTAGTTTGGTTACTACCACTGTGTAGTAGGTTTATAGTTCAGGGAGTTCTTCACCTCCTACTTCATTTTTGTTTTTCAGAAGTGCGTTCTTTATTTGGAGTCTCTTTCCTTTCCAAGTAAACAGCCACATTACCACCATTTAAAAGTTAGGTAGGTTTTAGCCTCACCCCTAGCTTCTCCTTACCAACTGGAAATCAGATTATTCTTACAAAGACATTTGACAGAAGATACGAAAGTAATTAAAACCCTTTATCTTATGCCAAGAAGCAAAACAATAATTAATTTCTATGAGTAAGAAAAAAATTCATATTGGAAATTCGAGCATATTTCAGTATTACACTGCTCTCCCACAAGGATGCATTACTCACTTTACATTCATTTTGACACTAATTCTAAGCTGCATCATAGAGGATGTCAACACCTCTGTGGGGTGAAGAGAGTGTGCACATAAAAGAGGCCTGGGCAGACACCTTCCTTGTCCCCATCAAGCTCTGTATCCCATTCTAGAACCCCACATCTCCTTGGCCTCACAACAAGCTGCTGGTAGTTTGCTTTGTTTCTTTAGTTAAAGAACTTTTCAGAGAATTAGCCTAAAAATATTTAGAAACAAAAATATTGTCAACTGTACAACTGTATTTTAATTTTTATATGGTGAGGGAACAAAAGAATTTATTAATGAAATCATAAGGGAACAATAAACTTTTGTGTTGTGGAAGGATGAAAACAGAGAACAAAGAAGGAATGAATATTGGGGATTCCAGGCCAGTTGGCACTGTGATGGCAGAAATTATCAAGATCTCTGATAGTGTTGACACTGAATGTCCCATTTTCAGGCCATTGAGATCCATTATCTAATTGATAATGTGCCCATAATGTATTACAAAGAATATAAGTCTTTTGGGCTTAATGATGTCTTTCAATAAAAGGGTATAAAGGGAGCTTAGTAGACACTCCAGTGTGGTGTCAGGAGAAGGGCAGGACTGGCTAGCTCCCCTAATTGGGGAAGGGATAAGCAAGGAGCGGAAGATTGTCAACCAGATGGATTGACACAGTGACTGCTACAGTGGGTTCTATTGGGTCGGGACATATGAGGATGGCACAGGATAGGACAGGGTTCAGATTTGTTGTTCACAGGGTTCTATGAGTGGTACTTGACTCAATGGCACCTAACAACAACAACAACAACAACATCAATGATATACAGGGAGCTCTGGTGGCCTAGAAAGTAATGAATTGTGCTATTAACCTAAATAAGGTGTCTAAAATTCACCAGGTAGGGGTTCTGTCTTTGGCTGATGCCCTACTTTTTTAAGGACTCAAATCCTGTCAAAGAAGAGAGGCTATTTTTCCCCCCATGGACTTAGGTTCTCCCTTTGCTAGGTTACTACTTTTTTACAGCTCCTAACAGCCCCATAAAATATTTTCTCTTTAAATAAAATGTTTCCATGTGTGAAAAGGAAAATAAAATCCATTCAGCAATTACAGTGTGGTGAAAAATGAGCAATCTCCTGTGTGATTTACTTTCTCTGCAATCTCAATGCAGCATCAGCTCTGAATTGATTCTGACTCTGTGACAGTGGATAGAGTTTGAATGCACATATACACATAGTATTGGTGTATATGCGTATAAAATAAATATGATGATAATAGAAATTTGTTTAATTGTAATAAAACCCAAACCCACTGCCTGCCACTGACTCACTTTGACTCAGTCAATTGAAACCTATCAGACAGAGAAAGCAGCCTGTCCTGTCCTTCTGCCTCAGAATTTCTGGTGAAATAAACATCCTAACATTTGGTTTAAAAAGTCTTTAAGTACTATGCCACCTGTGCTCATTTTTAATCTATGAGAGTGAAATATTGAAATTTCTATTATCCTGTTAAGGGAAATTGTGGAAGCAGACACAAATTCATAAAGAATAGATTTCTCATAAGGTGGGTGACTGCTGAAGCTGCTTCACAGGCTAGTATAGCATTCTTTCACTTGTGGTTCTTGATTGCCTTCAAGTTGA